TTTACCCCCCGGGTCCTGGCAGGGCTGTAGCTCACTGTCAGTCCCAGATCCTGGTAGGGCTGTAGCTCAGTGTCGGTCCCAGGTCCTGGCAGGGCTGTAGCTCAGGTTAACCCCTCTGTCCCCAGTTGCTCAGGGTCTTGGCAGGGCTGTAGTTCAGTGTCATCCTCAGGTCCTGGCAGGGCTGTAGCTCAGGTTAACCCCTCTGTCCCCAGTTGCTCAGGGTCTTGGCAGGGCTGTAGTTCAGTGTCATCCTCAGGTCCTGGCAGGGCTGTAGCTCAGGTTAACCCCTCTGTCCCCAGTTGCTCAGGGTCTTGGCAGGGCTGTAGTTCAGTGTCATCCTCAGGTCCTGGCAGGGCTGTAGCTCAGGTTAACCCCTCTGTCCCCAGTTGCTCAGGGTCTTGGCAGGGCTGTAGTTCAGTGTCATCCTCAGGTCCTGGCAGGGCTGTAGCTCAGGTTAACCCCTCTGTCCCCAGTTGCTCAGGGTCTTGGCAGGGCTGTAGTTCAGTGTCATCCTCAGGTCCTGGCAGGGCTGTAGCTCAGGTTAACCCCTCTGTCCCCAGTTGCTCAGGGTCTTGGCAGGGCTGTAGTTCAGTGTCATCCTCAGGTCCTGGCAGGGCTGTAGCTCAGGTTAACCCCTCTGTCCCCAGTTGCTCAGGGTCTTGGCAGGGCTGTAGTTCAGTGTCATCCTCAGGTCCTGGCAGGGCTGTAGCTCAGGGTCAGCCCCAGGTCCCGGCAGGGCTGTAGCTCAGGGTTAACCCCCAGGTCCTGGCAGGGCTATAGCTCGGGGTCCCTGCAGGTCCTGGCAGGGCTGTAGCTGGGGTTAACCCCTCTGTGCCCGCAGGGGAGTTCGTGGCCCAGTTCAAGTTCACGGTGCTGCTGATGCCCAACGGCCCCATGAGGATCACGAGCGGCCCCTTCGAGCCCGAGCTCTACAAATCCGACCTGGAGGTGCAGGACGGGGAGCTCAAGGTTAGTTCATCATTAATACCAATCATTAATAATGCTAATATGCAAATTAGGTATCTATAGAAACATAACATCTACTTCCATATTAAATACTAAAAAAAATATATATCTGTTTAGTAGTTTTAATTATTCAATTATTTAGTAGTTTTGATTAATTTAATTAATTATATTGCTTTTTAATAGTTATATTTACTTGGAAAATAGAAAATATGTCTGTAATAGTTATTGGTATTAATAGATTAATTGTTAATCAATCAGAAATTATATATATAAAGAAATAAAATTAGATTTTGTATGTAAAAAATATAAAATAACATCAAATATGTATAAATAAAACATATCAGAAATATAAAATCTCTAATAAATGTATACACTTATAAATATATAGAGATATAAAAATAACATTAATCATATAGTCTAAATAGCAGACTGTATTAATTAAATTATATATTTTTATGAATATATGTAAATATAGATTATATATAGTCTAATTAATACGTATAGAAGCAATACATTTATATCTACATATAACTTGTTAATTAATATATGGCAGAGTAAAATAGTAACAGTTTCATATTGATAACCAGAATAATAACGGAAATATTGATAATTAAAATATGAACAATTGAAGTATTGTAATTGAAATATTTACTATTGAATATTTACGAATTGAAAGATTAATAAATGAGTTTTTTTAATTAACTAATAAATTAAGGATTTATTTAATAATACATTTATTATTCCTGAATTCTTACTTATTACTAATTTATGAATAATTATTAACTTATAAAGGAATTAATTTAAATTAATAAATAAAATATTTATAATTAATAAGGCAGCACCTCCCCAGAGTCACCTGTCCTTGGACGGGAGATGAAGGAAAGGGAACCAAACCCCCCAAAATGACCCAAATTCCCCAAATTTATTATTATCCCAAAAAACCACCGGGATCACTTCCCACCTCCTCACCCTTCCCTCCATTCCAGGCCCTTCTACAAAGCTCTGCCAGCCGGAAGACCCAGAAAAAGAAGAAAAAGAAGGTAAAATCAGTCACTTTAATTCAGAATTTCGGGGTGTTTCCAGGAGAAAAACCCTGAAAAATCCCTGGATTTGTCCCCACAGGCTTCCAAAAACGCTGAAAACGCCACCACGGGGGAGACGGCGGAGGAGAACGAGGCTGGCGACTGAGAGCCCTTGGAGTTCTCAAATCGCCCCTTTTTCCCCCCAAAAAAAAAAACCCCAGAAAAAACAAAATTCCATCCGGAAACGAAAGAATCTGGCACCGGTGTTGGTCCAGGCAGTCTGGAATTCCCACAGAATCCAACAGCTCCCGTTGACTTTGCCAAGGAGGGAGGAATCTCTCGGTCACTTCAGACTTCCAAACGAATAAAAAAAGAATAAAAACACCCCAGAAAGAGCAGCAAAAAAAACCCCAAATTTTAATAAAAATTAGGAGTGAAAGTCGCTATTAAATCCTTAATATTCCCCGTGTTTTGGAGAGGTGAATCTGTGAAATTCAGGGGGAGGGAGCTGCTGATTCTTTCCTCCTCCTCCTCCTCCTGCTGCCTTTTTTTATTTTTTTAATTTTATCCCTTTGGAAATTTTCACAAAAAACCCCAAAAACCAAGTGATTCCACCCAGAAAAGTGCCCTGTGCGAGCAATCCTGGATTTTATCTTTTCCCTCTTGGGATTGTACTTTAAGAATTGGGAAAAATCCCCAAATTTTAAGTTCCCCCTACCCACCCACCCACCAGGAGCCTTTTCTGCCTCTGCCTTGATTTATGGGATTTCAAAAAAATCGCTATTTTTTAACACAAACTGGTTTTTAAAATGATCCAAACCTTCGGGAAGCCGCCGACATTCCGGCCTTGCGGAGCTGAATTCCCTAAAAACCCGGGTTTGGGTGTTTTTTATCCTTCTCAATATCCCCGGGAGCACATTCCACCTTTTCCCCTTGAGCCGGAGGATAATTTTTTTTCACTTTTTCCCTCAGGATTTGCTAATTTTGGGGGGGAAAAAGAAAAAATCCCACCAGAATTCCTCAGGGGAGAAGCGAGGGAAGCGCTGATCCGGGATAGGCCCGAGCCTAGGGGTATCGCTCTTTTATAGTCAATTTTTTACAAAAAAACCACATAAAAACGAGAAAAAAAAGCCGATTAAACGCCGTCAGTTGAATGTTTGAGGTTTTTTTTTTTCTTTGCCGGTACCCCTGGTTCTTTTTTTCCCTCATGTTTTTGGGAATTCTGATTCCCGCCTTACCCAACATTCCCGGGCGTTCTCGCAGGCCGCGGTGCTTCCTCGTCGAAATCCGAGTTTTCCACCCCAAAAACAACAAAAACTCCACACGTGCAAATGTTACCAAAGTCAAATAAAAGAGAATAAACGATGCGATATTGGATTTTATTCCGGGTTTCTTTCCGTCTTTGGGGATTGGGGATTGTGGGGCGGAGCCTGCCGAGGCCTGGGCAGGTTTGGTGTTGGAAATGGGGTTTTTGAGGGAAAAATGTTCATTTTTGAGGGAAAATGTTCATTTTCTGAGGGGAAAATGATAATTTTTATAGGGAAAATGCTGATTTTTGAGGTAAAAATGCTGATTTTTGAGGGGAAAATGTTCATTTTTGAGGAGAAAATGCTCATTTTTGAGGGAAGACTGATTTGTGAGGGGAAAAAAGTTCGTATTTAAGGGAAAAACATTTCTGAGGGGAAAATGTTCATTTTTGAGGGAAAATGTTCATTTTTTGAGGGGAAAATGATAATTTTTATAGGGAAAATGCTGATTTTTGAGGTAAAAATGTTCATTTTTGAGGGGAAAATGCTCATTTTTGAGGGAAGGCTGATTTCTGAGGGGGAAAATGTTCGTATTTAAGGGAAAAACATTTCTGAGGGGAAAATGTTCATTTTTCAAGGAAAAACACTCATTTCTGAGGGAAAAATGTTCATTTTTGAGGGAAAATGTTCATTTTTTGAGGGGAAAATGATAATTTTTATAGGGAAAATGCTGATTTTTGAGGAGAAAATGCTCATTTTTGAGGGAAGGCTGATTTCTGAGGGGGAAAATGTTCGTATTTAAGGGAAAAACATTTCTGAGGGAAAAATGTTCATTTTTGAGGGAAAAGCACCCATTTTTGGGAGAAAAGTGCTCATTTTTGAGGAGAAAATACTAATTTTTGACGGGAAAATGCTCATTTTTGTGGGAAAAAAGGCTCCACTTTTAAGGGAAAAACCCTCATTTTAAGGAAAATCCCCTCATTTTAATGGCAAAAAACCTGATTTTGAGGGGACAACTCCCCCACTTCACTTTGAGGAGAAAAAACTGATTTTGAGGAAAAACCCCCTTATTTTGAAGGGAAAGATTCTACATTTTGAGGTAGAAATATCCCTCATTTTAAGGGAAAAACCTCTTTCTGACAAAAATCCTTATTTTGAGGGGAGAAAAATTTTGAGGGAAAAACTCCCAAGTTTTGAGGGGAAAACCCCTCGTTTTGAGGGAAAATAAATTTTGGGGGGAAAAAACTCATTTTGAGGTAAAAATCCTCTATTTTGCAGGAGTAAAAATCTCACTCTGTGGGGGAAAAAAACCTCTTTTTAAGGGAAAAATCGTAATTTTAGGCTTTTAAAGCAGTGTTCCGCCTGGAGACGGGAGCCAAAAGCTCTTTCAATCCACAGCAGGGATTTAAAAACCGCCGAGACTCGCGGGAGGTTTATTTAATTTTCTATTTGTTATCTTTTATGCTACAATATAAAAATATTTTATATTTTTACTGGAAAGTCTCCAGAGGGGCTTAGGAATGCAACAAAATTACCGTTAAAGCCTTGGATAAGTGGAAATTGCCGGGAAAAAAATTTGTATCTGGTGTTTTTATTCCCAATAAATTGGAGGTGGGGAGGGACCGAACCCCGCGGCGGCGCAAAATGGCGGCCGGCCGCCGGACTACAACTCCCATGATGCTCTAGCAGCGAGGAACTACACTTCCCGTCGTGCCTCGTGCAGAGGTAGGCGTGGCCTGAACGCTTCCCTATAAATAGGCCCCACCGGACGGCGCGCGCCCCTCTCGGCCGCCGCCATCTTGGTGTCTTCATCGGCCGCCGCCTCCATCCGCCGCCATCCGCCTCCATCCGCCGCCCCCCGCCCGCCGGGACTGAGCGGGGCTCCGCAGAACCGCCATGAGGGCCAAGGTGAGCGGCGGGGGTGGCCGATGGCGCCTCAGTAGGGGCCGGGCCTGGATGGAGGAGGAGTGGGGGGAGCTGCGGCCTGGACGAGCCCCGGGGGCGGGTGAGGGGAACCGGGCAACGGGAGAGGGTCGCGGTGTACGGTTGGGGGCGTCCCTGAGGGTGTCTTTGCTGGGAGGAATGTGGGGGGAAACTGGGAGAACTGGGAGAGAGAAGCTGGGGTAGGACTGGGGGGAACTGGAGGCACCGGGGGAGCTGAACCAGTGTGGGACTGGAGCAGGGAGAGAGAAACCAGTGTGGGACTGGGAAACTGAGAGCTAAACCAGTGTGGGACTGGGAAACTGAGAGCTAAACCAGTCTGGGACTGGGGCAGTGGAAACTGAACCAGTCAGGGACTGGGAAAGAGAAACCAGTGTGTTACTGGGAGAGAGAAACCAGTGTGGGACTGGGGGCACTAAGAGGACCAAACTGGTGTGGGACTGGGGACACTGAGAGAAATAAACCAGTACAGGACTGGGAGCACTGGGAAAAGTGACCCAGTAAAACTGAGAGCTAAACCAGTCTGGGACTGGGAAACTGAGAGCTAAACCAGTCTGGGACTGGGAAACTGAGAGCTAAACCAGTCTGGGACTGGGAAACTGAGAGCTAAACCAGTGTGGGACTGGGAGCACTAAGAGGACCAAACTGGTGTGGGACTGGGGACACTGAGAGAAATAAACCAGTACAGGACTGGGAGCACTGGGAAAAGTGACCCAGTACGGGACTGGGGGCACTGGGAGAGCCAAACCAGTGGGACTGGGGACATTGAGGGGAATAAACCAGTATGGGACTGGTGGGGACTGGGAGGGACAGAACAGTGTGGGACTGGGAACACTGGGGGATACCGGGGGGCACTGGGAGCACTCGGGGGTATTGGGGGGCACTGGGAGCACTGGGGGCACTGGGAGCACAGTTTGCACTGGGAGTACTGGTTAAACTGGGAGCACTGGTGGGTACTGGGGGTCCCTGGGGGTTACTGGTTACACTGGTGGGCACTGGTGGGCACTGGGATCGCTGGGAGACCTGGCGGGCACTGGTTACACTGGTGGGCACTGGGAGCACTGGTTAAACTGGGAGCACTGGTGGGTACTGGGGGTCCCTGGGGGTTACTGGTTACACTGGTGGGCACTGGTTAAACTGGGAGCACTGCTGGCACTGGTGGGTACTGGGAGTCCCTGGGGGTTACTGGTTACACTGGTGGGCAACGGTGGGTACTGGGATCGCTGGGAGAGCTGGGTGGGCACTGGTTACACCGGTGGGCACTGGGGGACACTGGTTACACTGGGGGGCACTGGTTACACTGGTGGCACTGGGATCGCTGGGGGCACTGGGGTCCCGTGGGTACTGGTTACACTGGTGGGCACTGGTGGCACTGGTTACACCGGTGGGCACTGGTTACACTGGTGGGCACTGGTGGGTACTGGGAGGCACTGGTTACACCGGTGGCACTGGTTACACTGGTGGGTACTGGGGGGCACTGGTTACACTGGGGGGCACTGGTTACACTGGTGGCACTGGGATCGCTGGGGGCACTGGGGTCACCGGTGGGCACTGGGAGGCGCTGGTTTCACTGGTCTCACTGGTCTCACCCTCACCCCGTCCCTCTCTCTCCCCGCAGTGGCGCAAGAAGCGAATGCGCAGGTACGTGAGAGCCCCGGGCCGGCCCCGCCGCACCGGAGGGCTCCCGGTGCCCCTCCCGGTGCCCCTCCCGGTGCCCTCCCGCCCCGGTGCCCTCCCGGTGCCCCGGGCCGGCCCCGGGGGTGACGCGGCCGCCGCTCTGTCCCCAGGCTGAAGCGCAAGAGGAGGAAGATGAGGCAGAGGTCCAAGTAACCGCCCCCAGCGGGACACGCCCCGGTGACCGCCGGTGACCCCGGGGCTGGCCCGGTGCCGCGGGGGGTCCCGCCGGGCCGGGCCCGTTCTTTGCTTTGCGGCGGCCGCCGTGCCGTGAATAAAAGTTGGTTGTTGCTTACACGGTGTGGGCGCTCTGCCGGTTACCGGGGAGGGGGTTCTGGGGGCGGGGGGAGTCGCGGTAACGGGGGAACGGGGTGGAGGTCCCGCCGGTAACGGGGCTGGGGATCCCCGGTAACGGGGCTGGGGGGATCTGCCACGAACAGGAGACGGTCAGAACCGCGGGTTCTCTTTGGTGGGGCCGGGGAGCGGTACCGGGAATCCTCCGGTAACGGAGCAGGTGGGTGGGACCGGGGGGAAGAATTTTCCGGTAACGGGGCCAGCGCGGTGGTTCCTCCGGTAACGGGAAGCGTGGGCGGGAGCGGGGTGAGGAATCCCCGGTAACCGTGAGCATGGACTGGGCTCATTCCGAGCCCACCGGGACCAGGAAGTTCCGGTATCTCCGACGCGAACCCAGCGCGACGGCGGCTCGCTCCGATGACGTTACGGTGACGCATTTCCTGCGCGCCGGGCCGCGCGGGTCCTTCCGGGCCGCCCCGGAAGCGGCGCCGAGCGGGTCCCGCCCGCCGCCGGCACCGGCCGCGCGTTGGTGGCGCCGGAGGCCCCGCGGGGAGGCCGCGAGCCGGTGAGTACCGGGCCGGGGGAGGCCGCGCTCCGCCAGGCCCCGCCGGGGGCGGTGCGGCTCCGTGCCCGTCACGGGGAGCGGGGAGCGGCCGCGGGGGAAGCGCCGGGGATCCGCGCCGGGGTCGCTCCCGTCCCTCTCTCCCCGCCCGGTGCCCCGCGGTCGGTGTTTTCTCCTCCGCACCGTTACCGGAATCTGTCCCGGTGCCCCGGCGTGACCGTTTCTGCCCTTCTCACCGGTACCGGGGCCGCTCCCGGTCCCTCTCTCGGTGCCCGGGCTGGGTGAATCCTCTCTTCCCCCGTCCCGGGGTCCCTCCCGGTTCTTCCTTCACCGCCCTCCTCCTCCGCTGCTGGCAGCGCTCCCGGTCCCTCGCTCGGTGTCCCGGGGTGGGTGCAGACCCTGACCCGGCAGTACCGGGGTCCCTCCCTCCCTGTCTCCCGGTGTCCCGGGGTGGGAGTGAGTCCCCCCATTCCCAGTCCCTCCCGCTGTCCCTCCCTCTCCGTCCCTCCCTCTCCCTGTCCCTCCCTCTTCCAGTGACCCCTCCAGGTGCCCCAGGGTGGAGTGAGTCCCCCCATTCCCAGTCCTTCCCTCCCTCCCTCCCTCCTCCGGTGACCCGTCCCGGTGCCCTGGGGTGGGTGTTGACCCTCTCCCCATCAGTACCGGGGTCACTCCCAGTCCCTCCCTCCTCCGGTGACCCCTCTGGGTGCCCTGGGGTGGGAGTGAGTCCCCCATTCCCTGTCCCTCCGTCCCTCTCTCCTGGTACAACGGGGTGGGACTGCCCCCATTCCCAGCGCCCCTCCCTCCCCCTGTCCCTCCCTGCTCCAGCGACCCCTCCGGGTGGCCCAGGGTGGGAGTGAGTCCCCCCATTCCCTCTCCCTCCCTCCCTCCCTCCCTCCCTCCTGCTGTCCCTCCCTCCCCA